ATTGATAGCCCGAGAAAACGCATGGAATTTGAAAAGAAAGACAATAGAATTGATTTAAAATCTCACACTTTTATTCTCACAATTAGGAATATTTGCGCGCAAATGAGGCTAACACAGAGCATTGGAGAATTCGAAACTGGATTATTCAGACAGTACTTCTAGCAATAGCTGTGAAATATAAGAAAGTAGAAACTGACTCACAACTGGTTTGCTAATTACATCTATAAAGTGTAAAAATGTCTCATCAATTAGCTGACACTTGATCAAACAATGATCTGCAATAATTTTTAATAATGTACCAGTGACTTTCTAGTGTGCTATACACTAATTTTTGTAACGAGGTATTTAAAATTTGGTAATGTAGAATGACTGTGGAAAATATTTGTCATATTTAATGTATTTTTAGCATACAATTGACATATTGATGCTGTTGTTGTGTCCAACTCAAAACCTTAAGTTTATTTTAAAATAAAAATTTTAGAATATTAAGCATTAATTTTTATCTCCAAGATAAAATACTGTGAAATGAAATCAAGTAGGGTGTGGATGAAATCAAGGAGGGTGTGGATGGAGATGTGTCTTTTTAACATAATGGAATGCACAGGAAACATTCCAATGAATCATCCAAATCTAATATTGATATAACTCAGTATCGTAGTTATTTGTATAAGAACATATCAATAGCCCTTTTCATGGTTATAAAACAAGTTGTGCAAGTGGCCTGTGGTTTTGCACCAAAACAAGAATCAGACACGAACCAAAAATAGTCCTTTTGAGCTTGATTCTTCTTTGCAAAATGTCATAAAAAATGTTGATAATAAAAAGATCATGATTTTGAAATCACTAGGTTCATCATTTAAGGGCTTCAGCAAAACATGTTGCCCACTTTTGTTTTAACTGCGAAAAGGTCTAGTGACAGTAACCGCAATGAAACTTTAAATTATAACATAAAATGTAATAAATGACGATTTAAGGTTGTCTTTCTAATTTTGCTGTGGTTGTTGTAGGAGAAATAAAATAGTCTATTTAGTAACTATTTTTGAGTGTCTTTTTTGGCCTTGGGAAGAGAAAGAAATAAAGACTTGGGGGCCTTGGTGAGAAACACTATCAAAAAACGTGATGAATCCTAATCCAGTGTATAAAAAAAACCTGTGAAAAAGCTAGAAGAGTCATTTCCATCCGTCTGTGAAATAGGAATTGTACTATTAAATACTATTACCCCCTATTAGCTCCAAATAGTTTAACTTTTGACATGCAAAAAACAAATCACTAGGCAAAAGCGGTTTTGATTTAGTCTTTTTTTAGCCTACTACACCCTAATAGTTACTATTAAACACTGACTAGTAGATGAAAATGACTCTATAACTTTATCCAAACTTAGTACAACTGGCCCTTGCAGTCTTGGTTCTCATTTTTATTTTAATAATAATCCTGAAAATAACAAAAAATAGAGAAAAACTTTTCAATCAACCATGATGTCTCTTAATACAAACAAGTTTGTGAAGTAAGAATACCTACAACCCTAAGTCTTCCATTGGGAAAAACAATGTTGTACTGCAGGTAACATAGTGAAGGTCATCAACATTTTTCCTTATTAGACAATGAAGCAGATAATTTTTGAATTATAGTTTTAATTCTTTTTTGGAGAAATACATGTACAAAGGGTTCAGATATTTCATTTTCTTTGTGGCAATTTTCCACAGGTTTCAAAGAATATTTTCCAGTCTACCACCAATTCAATGAAGAGATACCACCTAACTAACCTTACATGCAATTCTAGTAGTATCAATATTAAATATTGCAAGTGCTTTCCAATAACTGTGAATAGAAATCTAAATTACTTATAGTCCAATGAAAAATGGAATTATAACATTATCATACATTTTGCTTTCTCTTAAACTACATAGTACTAATGATGCAATCCTGCAAGCAAAGACTTGATGAAAATCTCTTCTTGAAAGGTATAAGTGTCCATTCTAATTGGCTTTTTATTGTGAGAGGCCCTGTTAGGGGTAGATTCTGACAAATGGAGACATACATTTGTGATGAATGAATGACTGCTCTGATGAATTGCTCAATGCAATACAAGAAGGTCCCAACATTTCAACAGGAAGTTGTGAAATGCAGGCAGGAGACATAGTTATACCCCTAACAGAGACTCGTGTTAGTAAATATGGACAAAGTAAGTGGCAGATTGCAATGTTACAAAACTAGTTTTAGTTGAGAGGATTTGCTGCCGTTTAATTACAATAAGGCTCATTTTCATCAAATGTATTTTAGTTATGTTTTCAGCACGTTGAGCAAATTTCAAATGACAAAAATGATATGATCAAAGAAACTCATCTTCTAGTTACAACAAATAAGTAACACTCAATTGACAACAAATGCAGTTGCAGCTATGGTACAGTGCAAAAGCACTATAACTTAATTGTACAATATCATGAAATATGCTTGATTTTGTAGTCCTGCTACAAAACCCACTCAAAAAGGGTCTTCATTGTGTTTATGGATGCATGAAAGTCAAAAGGACAAGCAAAACTGCAAGATGTTGAGCTTCCAAATTCAAATTGTGAATCTAAAATTTACTTCCCTTTAAGTGAAGAAAAAGTCCATTTTTTATGCCATCCTAAGATTAGCGAATTTAACCTAGGTTTAGGCCAAATCCTAGGTTAGTTTAATCGGGCTTTTGAACAACTGGGCCCTTAATATGTTTTCATCCACATAACCTAGCAAAGAGTCTAGAACTAGCTACAAGATGATAATAAAGTATATCAATATCTCTTTATACAGAAAGATGTTCTATAACAAAACAACAAAACATTGTATACTAATGTTGCATTCTTTTTGTTGCTAGTTCTAATCAATATAGTGGAAACATGATCATCATTGCTTATTGTAAATTCACAATGTAATTGCCTTACATCATGCTGCAGTGCTGTTATATATAAATTGAAAAGGAACATTTTTAAACCCTTAAAAGCATTGATAATAGAAACACTGCAATACAACTATATGAACCACTGTTTACAAACAAATTGTTTTGAAGTATAACAAGTTTTGCAAAGTGGAACATTCTTCGGTTTGGTAATTTATAAACAAAGAAACAACTTCATGACATTAAGTACTCCAAAGAAAGTAACCCTAAGTATGTTCTAATTTTACAGAGAAACAGTCTGGCATGTTGAATAAATATTTCCATAGAAAAAAAATGGAATTTTAAAGAGAAAGACTTTTCAACAAGAAAAAAATAAGCCAGGAAGGATTGATAACATTGCTTCCATTTATGAAGTTCACTTAATCTTTTTTCAAAAGAGTTTTATCCATAATATATGTCAATATAGCTTGTGTAAAGGTAGTGTAAAAATGGTGTTGTGTCCTACCTGACAGCATGCTAGTAAGAATTCTAGTAGCAGTGTTGTAGAAAAAGTGATTCAACATAATCAAGTCATGTGATGACCCATTAAGACTATTCACAATATCCTATATTTGGTTCAGTGACCACAAACAACGCCTTGAACCAAGGCGTCAAGGTACTGTGAACTAAGGTACTGTGAACTAAGGTACTGTGGAAATAACAGATCTGTGATCATTGTTCCTTGATGCCTCAATCCAATTCTTTGTTTGTGGTCACTGAACCTGAGAAATGTGTTGAACCCATCAAGATTACACAGTCCTACAATTAACAGGATTGTCATCACCATCTTCGTCATCGCTTCCATCGACTGTTGAAAATCTAGTCCGATAACCCATATTCATCAGCATAATCTCCAGAGGGTCAGCGTTCATGCGCTTTTGATTTGCTCTTGCTGCAGCCTCTACCTCAGCGACATGTCTCTCCTCTGCTTTGCCATCCTCTGGTCTAGGACTCCATAACCTGATAACAGGATCAATTCCACTGGTTGCTAGGAGACAGATTGATGGGTGTGGCTGTAGACAGTTAACAATTGATTCATCACCTTTAAGGACACGTATCAAGTTTGTAGTCTCTTTGTTCCATATAAAGAAAGACCCATCATCACTGCCAGCCACAATGTATTGTCCATTACTACCCATGAAATTAGCTTCCTTTATATCAGTAGTCGTGTTACAATGTCCACAAAATCTTTTACTGTAATCATAGCTTGATCCTCGTAACATTCTTTCCTGATCACAAATAACACTCAATCTTCTGCGACGTCGTCGTAAGATGTTTTTTGGTGAACTACTATCCTCATTTTCTAATGATAAGAAATATATTGTTAAAAAAGCATCAGTTGACCCACAAACCTTGTTCCAGCCAAATCTTGTGAGATCATTCAATTTGATTGTTAAAAAACAAAACAGAAACACAACCCAAATATATTCATAAACTAATGACTGCCTTGGGCAGGGGTGTGCCAACAGGTCCTCAAAACTCTAACCCTATCCTGTAAGAAAATTTTTGATTTGACAGAGTGTACTCTATGGTAAGCCCTACCAAGACTAACATGTATTCTGTGCAAAAACAAAAACAAAACAACAACAACAACCAAAAAACCCAAGCAAACATTTATTCAGTATATTCAATTAACTTTGAGTGAAATTTATGAATCAGTTGTTTTTGTGCAGACAGAAAGTATAGCCTACTTTTAGACCGAACAGAAATACTATCTTAAATTTTAGATGAAAGCCATATCATATTCCAAATAAACTGTCAAAATTTGTGTGCATCCCAATCCAGACCTAAAACTCAAAAATCCACACTCTCCAACATTTGCCTGTCTACATACTGTCCAACATTTGCCTGTCTACATACTGTCCAACATTTGCCTGTCTACATACTGTC